AAATCACAAGATCACATATCCATAAATCACAATAAACAATTTATTTTTATAAAAAGACAAATCACAAATCACATAGTAGAGGAGGTTCCTGGAGCCCCTCTCGATCCACCTCGGCATCATAAAAGACCTCCGAGTCCCGGTGCTACAGTCACAGTCCTGGACAATCATTGCAGTAGCGGCCACCGGCCTAAAGATGGCAACGGTCACAAAATATCCGCGTGCCCGCGGATAAAAAACTAATGGGCATGGATATGGGTTTAAGTTTGTGCCCACGGGCACGGGCATGGGTGTGATTCTAAACCCGATGGATATTTGCTCGTGGGCATAGAAAAATGATATCCGCACCCGCAAACCCGCGTCAATGACCCTATAAGTCTATATACGGTTGTATGTCTTTATTCGTGTTAATTTGTGATGACTTGAATTTGTAATGTAGACTTTTGATGACTTGATGAATGTGTCATACTTTATCTAATGTAGACTTTTGATGACTTTTTAGTATGGTCAATGTGAATATACTTTATCTAATGTTGAGATATTGTCCAATCGTTTATTTCTTGATATATTGTTTCTTATTTAATACTTGCATGCATTTGAGATATGGTTTTGGGTGCTTTATTTTTTGATATATTGTTTCATTTTAAGATATGGTTGGGTGCTTTGTTGCTTCATTTTGTGGGTATCTGGGTGTGCCATGGGCATGTGATATCCATGGATAGCGGGCACGAGCATGGTTTTCTACCCGTGATTTGTTAACGGGCGCGGGCGCGGGCACGGATTTTTGCTCGTGGGTATGGATATTTAGGGCTAGTATCCACGCGGATTTTACCCGTTGCCATCTTTGCACCGGCCACGCCCAGCAGTACAAACGTCTCCTCCGTCTCAGCAGCACGGAGTCCTACTACACCTAAGAGCAAGGCTAATGGATACGCCTGCTCGCCGGCTGCAAGAAGCTCCAGATCACCTGAGCTGTCGAGCAGTGGTGGCGGACCCTACCGATCTTTAATGCTTCGCTGCGACGTGAAAGAACTGGAGTGGGAGAGCGGCAGCCACAATGCATTTCGCCCGCTTTTTGCTGGCGTCTCTCGAGTCGCCCGCTTTCTTCTCTCTCCTGCTTTCTCTCTCTCCCACATCGGATTTCGCCAGCTCTTCGCCACTTATAATACTTGCTCTAACCTGAAAGCGTACAGTCTAGTACTCTACGCTCTGCCCCTGCCATCAAAGCCATCGAGAGGGGCTCCAACAGGATGGCGTGGCGGGACCTGAGGGGCGAGCTCGTCGGAGCCGGTGATCACCGGTGAAAAAAGATAGAGAAAAAATTCATGTGTTTTTTTCTTTAAAACAATATACGTGTGTTGTATAGCATTTTGGAAAAAAAAAAGGAAAGAAAAGAAAAGATTCTGGCGTTCTTCCGGTTGCTGTGGCATTGCATGACGTGCGCCGTGCGCGTGTTCCCCTACGCGCCACGCGCCAGCCCTGTCCACACAGTGATTTGTCATTATTTTCCCCTTGGACACGCCAGCCGCTTGAACGCTTCCGGGTTTGTAAATTCGTACAAAGTCCCGTGTGCCTGGTGAAGAACAACAGTGATTTGTGATTATTTTCCGACCCAAGTTAAGCTTTTGCTAAGATTGAGCGTAGGGTGAAGGTGAACATCACCACATCATGTCCGAACGCTTTATTACGCTTTCTTTTTTATTGATCATGCAAAAGGATGGTACGTCTTTGTATTAAGATAAAGAAAAATTTTAATACAACATGCTTTTAACGGCGCCCTAGGTGGTAAAAAAAGATCTACATAGACGCTCAGATCCTATAGTGTACTGAAAGCTATGTTGTTGTTACATTGGACACTGGTCAACCTAAATTGCGGTGCCGGCTAGGACTCTATGCTCGGGCTGCCAAGCGGCGGCGGCGCTGCTTGCACGGACCAACATCGCTGTCCGGTGGGAACAACTCACGTAGCGCCTGTATATTATCGGGGTCCCCGCGGTAGATTCCTCGTATGCCTTCAGAGCCGACGTCGAAGGAGACGACATCGCGCTGGTTAGTCCCAAACGCTTCAAGACAATGTGCTCACCTCTTTTGGACACCGAAATACGTGATATGATCTACAACGCTATACGCCTGCTCCTCTTGGGTAGCGCGGTTGGTGTACGTTCGTCGTGGACCGTGACATCGGGCAGCTCCAGGATTGGCGGCTCCCTCGTCTTTGTTATTCACTTGGTGATACGCTTGAGGCGTCTGCCGGCCGACGTCATGGCCATGGCCCCCCCTATACAACACTGGTAGAAACGACAGGCACAAATTCGGGCGAGCAGCTCAGGTGTGCATGTGTACACGGCAGACACAAAAGTGGCTGTTCGTTAAAACCTCCAGATACAGAACATCAGCTAGCTGCCTTGCAAACTCGTTTCTGGTAGGCAACACCGCAACACACTGCATGTAGATCGCAAACTGCACTTCAGCCCTCGACAACGAAAGATACCCCATCATGTTTCCTGAAATGGTGTGATGTGTGATCAACAATCTGAAAAACAACAGAAGAGCAGTTTAGTGAAGCAAATGCTACAGTTCTAGCTCGGATGCATAAATAAAGACAGTACACAGCCAGACTTAGCAACTTAGGACCTCTGTTTTTCTTTTCGCCAGGGAGAGCATCTCTATTTCTCCAAGAGTTTCCAATAAAACCCCTCAATTTAGGATTTTGGGCAACAATAGAAAAAACTCATCAACCAAACAAGTTATAACTTTTCTATGGTTCATGATAATTTTTTTCATAGCTTACCATGAGTTTTTCATAGCTCACTACTAAACCAAACAGACCCGAAAGCTCGCTAAGTGGCCTTAGGAACCAAACCAGAGAATTGAAGATGTTCTTGGTCTCCGGAGATGAAGCCAGACCAACGTGACTTCTCTCGTTTCAGTTGGTATTTTGGCTTCTTTACACAAAGAGGGCACAAAGAGTTAAAGAACTGACGAGCAGTGTAGTTTTTTTCTTCTTCTTTTAACGCGGACCACTGGGTACTCGTGTAATCCAATAGAACAGTTCTGCTGTGTAATCCAAAGGTCGGAGTTCTCCGTTTATTCGTATCCCGTCACGAGATAAGAGGATGGTAGTGGTAGAGCCAATGACCAAGCTGAGGCCAATCCTAAAGAATTTTTTTTATACGAATCCTGAAGAGCTTTTGGACTGATCCAGGGCGTGACATCATTTTTTTTAGATAAAGAGGGCGTGGCATCATAATTCATAAAACGGCTGTATTGTATCGGTCTGCTCTGCTCCAAGCCTCCAACTGCTTCTCGTCAGAGAACGTATACAAGTGGGGCACGTCTAGTGGATGAGATGCATTTTTTAAGGCCAAATGAGAATTTAGGAAAGTTATCTTCTGCAACTACAAATCTACAATATCAGAGTAAAGCATCTTTGCCTCAAATTAAGCAATTCAGATTCTTCCAATTTTTACCTTGTCCAATACTCAGCGTATGTATGGCGAGCTGCAGCACGGTAGACGGTTGTTATTCTTCTGTGGCAGCAAGGGTCGTTTCCAGTAGTTCTGGGTTCATTAAACTATAGCATTAACTGAAACATTAAAAAAATCTAAACAAAGAATATGACCAACTATAATGAATTTGGTTTGATGGACCATAATCAATAATTCAAAATATACATTTTTATGTTATTAAAATGAACTTCACCCTAGCAACTCCCTCCATGAACACGTCTGTGCATGGCATGACTGATGACAATATCATATAACGAATATCATGGACCATATAGTAATTTGATCGAGACTTGCCACGATGGTTACTCCTCGCAGAGGGGCATTTCTGTATTTTTTCCCTTCTACGATAAGACGTGGTGGTGGATATTCCTTGAACGATTGAACCCAGCTAGATGAGGATGAGGTCCTGTCTCTGTCTACGCTGTTTTTGGTTAGGTACCTGGGTGCCTCCGTGGCTGCCTCTTACCAAACCACTATTCAAGTAATATGCTTCATCCGTCCAAAAAATTATAATTCTAGCTCTGAATCTGTACACACGTTGTGTTCAGATTCAAAGCTAGAATTACGTTTTTCTTCTAAACGGAGTGAGTACTGTATATGAAGCATGGCCCACACTTGTTTTTCGTTGTTCTTGGAACACAAAGGGGATCAAAGGTCCTTTGGTATGATCACCAAGAAAAGAAATGCTGAGAAAAGCAATGCCTTTGGTTCAGAGCATGGCGTGTTTAGAGCAGGCCGGAAGGAATATTGTGCTGTGACATCTAATTTTTTTGTACTTGGTTTGGTTGCAATGATCATTTCTCACACTTTATGGTTACAGAGATGATTTTTGAAGCAAGTACTCTGTAGTCTATATATTGCTATAATAATGACCGTGCTTAGGATTTGACTAAAAACCTTTCTATAGTCTGCAATTAGTCCAGCAAAGACAATGTCAATCCAGGCGGTTTGAAATTTAGCGTAGGACAAAAGGATACGATGGTACCCAAATCAAACAAACCCAGTTGAGTTCTACAACATACTGTATGAGCTGTACTAATGTGAGTCAACGTCACTGTACCGCCAATGATGTTTCCATCGCAGCAAAGAGAAATACGTAGAGAATTAACACAGACTGAACATCAAGCCAGTACTGAAATAGCGAAATGCGGAAATGATAAAAAAAAGGAAATACTGAAACGTGCAAGAAAAACTGAAAACTGCCTGGTGCGCGTACGATAATTACCACTCGCGGCAAACTCGCTAGTCTAGCTGTACTATCCCTGACAGGTGGGGACGCCTGAATCTACACCTATCACCAACACCCTATTCCGCTAAGCTCACCCGCCCACAAAAAACACCACGTACACGGGCGCGGGCGCGGGCGCGGAGACCGACCACCACCACCACCTCCTCTTCCGGTTGCCTCCGGCCTCGCCTTCCCTCCATCCTCCTCCCCGTCTCCAGCCTCCCGGACCGGCAACCACGTGGCGCGACAGGTCGTCGCCGGTTTCCATGGCGGCGGCGGAGGTGTACTCGCCGACCGCGGCGGCGGCGGCGCAGCAGCAGCAGCGGGGGAAGGCGGCGTCGCAGGCGTGGCGGGCGGTGGTGGGGTGGATCGGCTTCCTCCTCCAGGTCCTGCTCCAGATCCTCCGGGGCACGCCCTCCTGCGCCCAGCTCCTGTCCTTCGTCGGCTTCCGCTACCCGCTCCTCTCCGGGACCGCGGCCTCGGAGCCGTCGCCGGAGGTGGCCTTCATGCCTCTCCGCTCCGAGATCCCAGCTGACGCGGCGCCTGCCCCGACACCTGCGCCTGAGCCCCTGGGCCGCCTCACGGTACGACGATTCGTTTTTTTAATTCGATTCGGTGGAGCTTTTGATGTCAGGGGTGGGGGAAAATGGCGCCTTTGTGGAGTATATGGTTTTCAATCAAATAGTATAGTGGACTTGGGACGGTAGGAATTGCATGTTGATCAAATTGGATGATGCTTCGGTAGTTGGGGGTGATTGGGATTAGGTGAAGTGGCTGATTTAAGGTTAATCGAGGTTTGGTGGCTTAGTTCAGGTAGTTCAGTTGATTTTTGTTTGTAGAGTATATTTCGACTGTGTAGCAGGCCTTCCGCCCTTCCCTGAGGATTGTGTGTTAGAAGTTGTCATCATGAGTTATTAGTATGGGCAATTAGCTGCGCTGCAATTGCAAAATAAGGGTTTGCTTGTTTTAGTAGTACAGACTTACGATTGCATTATCTCCTCTCTGAACTGGTGGCAATATGTTTCCAATGATCTTCTAGTGAAGCTGTGGGAAATAGTTCCAGGATACTGGTTTCCTGTCATTGTGTGTAGGTGACTAGATAACCTGCCATCATTGTTGAACATCTTGATTGTAGCTGGATTATGACATAGTTTCTTATCAGCTGATTATAGATGATCCATTACATGGGCTGTTATACTGTAAGGTATGCTCATAGTTGGATTTCTAATAGTTTGGATCGGCAAAGAAGCTTATAGCTTCACATAAATGGAGTCAAAACTGAAAACTGGAAGTTATATTGTTGCTAAGCATTAGTACTTAATTGCCTTGAAATGAAGTCACCTTGAACATTTTCTCTTGTGTTTACCCATCGAATATTCTGACAACATTACGGCTGTCTGTTCAGGTAGTGCTTGACTTGGATGAGACTTTAGTTTCTGCATATGAATCATCTAGTCTTCCTGCTATTGTGCGCACACAAGCTGTTGAAGCAGGATTACATTGCTTTGATATGGAATGTATATCGTCTGATAAGGTACCAAACTTGTATCTTTGCTATGTCACTTTGTTTATAATAATTTGAATCACGACTGATAAATGAGCTTTTGCTTTTGTAAACTTTAAAGGATGTTGAAGGAAAACAGAAGGTGAATCATGTGACTGTTTTTGAGCGTCCTGGTTTGCATGAGTTCTTGCAGAAAACTAGTGAATTTGCAGATCTTATTCTTTTTACAGCAGGTTTAGAAGGTATGTTTGCTGCTGTTATTTTTCACAACCTAGGAGCCCAATTAATTTTCACGCATTTCCTCACTTAACCTGTCCATGCTTCTCCTCAGGTTATGCTAGACCTTTAGTTGACCGAATAGATGTTCACAATAGATTCAGACTTCGTCTCTATCGCCCATCAACTGTTACCACGTAAGTTATATTACCTTCTCTGTACAAATCATGTTGTACCACAGCAATCAATAATGATGTTCATATTGTACACATGGAATGCTCGTGATGTTTAGATTTTAGCGTTCATTTTATCTTCTTTACCAAGTATTTCTCAGAGTATCAGCACTCCAGAACTTCTACAATATATTCAATGTGCATTTTTATTGGGTGTCTTGATCTATCATCGTTGCCTGTGTACAACTATGGATGTTTCCTTTAGCATGCATGTTTATGCTGATTCACCGAGTTATTCAATCGTAATACACTTGTTTCTTGATGTTTTTCTCTTCCTGCCTGACCGATTCACACCATACTTGTTTGCCAATTTTCTGATATGAATGGGTTGCATAATTGCAGGGAATACAGAGAACATGTGAAAGATCTTTCTTGCGTGTCAAAAGATTTCGGCAGGATTGTCATTGTCGACAACAATCCGTTCAGTTTCATTCTTCAGCCTTTGAATGGAATACCTTGTGTTCCATTTTCAGCTGGACAACATTCTGATGACCAGGTAACTGACGATGAGCACAAGTTTTGCATGGCCTGAACTTCTAGCCTCAAAAATCGCACTGATTTTTTCTTGATTTAACATTTCAGCTCATGACGGTTATATTTCCACTCCTGAAGCATCTTTCCCTCCAGAAAGATGTCAGACCTGTATTGCATGAAAGGTTTCATATGCCAGAATGGTTCCAAAAGCATGGGATCCCCCAAACAAATCAGGCTGTGTAAGTTTTGCTACCGCACAATGGAATTGTTTTGATGAAGGCTGAAGTGCCTACTATGCGATAAGCCCCTTAAGGGAGAGCACCTGTACATTATTATCAATATTCATTTAGGGTTCTGATAAAACCGAGTCACTGTTCATATGGAGTTGTCACATCCGAAGATAAGAAAAATGTAATCTAGCATGACTTCAGATTTGTATTTGTGTAGTGAAGCATTTTATATCAATTAACTGTTGTATATCAGCTTCTGTTGTAAAATTTGATCGTTGACAGTTATGATAGTCTAATGAATAGTTCATAGCTCATCGATGTCAAGTTTACACCTGGAGAACCAATGTCCATTAACGTATTCATTATGAATCTAACAATCGGGTATGTAATAATAATTAATATTAGCAGTAAGCACAATAATTGGCACAGATAGCATGTTTGAACCTTACTCACCAATGGCAACAACCATAAGTCAGTGGTCTTTGTTATTTTATCTGAAACATTGTCGCCAGATTCGCTGAACAAGTTACTGGAACATGGAGCCTTTTATCTGACTTTCTGGACATCGAATTCGTTGGAACTTCTTATCTGGCTTATAATCTGGGATGCCTTATCAATCTTGTATGCTCTCTCATAGACGCCGGCTGCCACAAGATAAAGCTCCCTCTTGTCGATGCTTGGGTCATGGCTTAGCTCGCCAACCAGCACTTCCAGCTCCTTGAAGTCCTTCTGAGCACCAAGGAGGCTAATCATCTGAAAGTGCACCCGGTCTGAGAACACACAGCCTGCCTCCCTCATCGCCTGGTACAGCGCCGCGGCCTTGTCGAAATCCTTCAGCTTGCCATAAGCATTCATCGCGGTGGCAATCGTCTCCGAGTCTGGTAACTGGCCCAATTTCCTCATTTCATCAAACACCTCGATCACATTCCGGTGCCTTCGGTTCTTCGCGTACAAGTCCATCATTGCTCTGTGCACCGATGAGTCCTTGATCTCGCCGGTGTTGGCCGCACGACGGAACAACCATGCGGCCTCTTCCAGACGACCGGCACTCGCCAAGATTTTGATGGCTGTCTCCTTGGGGATGCCCTCTGGGTCTTTCAGATCGCGCAACAAACGCTTGGCCTGTGAGACAAGCCCGGCACGCTCATACCCCACTACCATTGTCTGGTACAGCACTGGGTCGATCTCCGTGCCAGCTTCCCTCAGCTTCTCAAACAGCTTGGCAGCGCGGTCGAGCTTCCCTGCTTTCACCCAGATGGACAAGATAGTGGAGTAAGTGATGGCATCGGGCTGGACACCAATGGCCTGCATGTCCTGCACCAACCTCCCGGCTTTCTCGTCCTCCAGCGACTTGCCGTAGATGGCAATCACGGTGTTGTACGTCACCACGTTCGGTTTGACGCCGCTACCAGCGCCACCATTGCCATCGGAAGCGCTGCGCATGAGGTCGAACAGGTGAACCGCCTCGCCGAACAGCCCGGCATCGCCGTACACACGGAGCATGGTGTTGTAGGTCACCACGCTTGGCGGTACGCCTGCCCTGCGCATGGACCAGAACAGCCGGTCCGCCTCGCGTGCGAGGTCCAGCTGCCCGTACGCGTTGAGGATGATGTTGAACACCGAGAGGTCCGGCTTGACGCGCGCCACGGCGCGCATGTGCGAGAACAGCGACACGGCCGCGAGGTGCCGCCCCCTTCGCGCCAGCGCGGAGAGGATGGGGGAGTAGGTCTGCGCGTCGGGCGCGACGCCGTGGGCCGGCATGTCGTGGAGCAGCAGCCATTTGGCGTCGCGGATAAGGTCGGACTTGCAGTAGGCGGCGACGGCGGCGTTGTACGCCTTGAGGTCGGGCCTGATCCCCGCGGCGCGCAGCCGGGAGAAGAGCGTCAGCGCCTTGGGCGCGTCGCCACCGCGGAGGGCGAGGTGGATGAGGTTGGAGAAGAGGATAAGGTCCGGAGCCACGGCGTCATCCTCCATGAGCGGCAGGAAGGTGAGCGCGTGGTCGAGGTGGCCCGCGCGGGTGAGCGCGGCGAGGAGGGTGGAATACGAGAACGCGTCGGGGGTCACGCCCCTCTCCCGCATCTCGAGGAGGAGGCCGGAGGCGAGGCGGAGCTCGCCAGCGCGGCAGGCAGAGCGGAGGAGTAGGTTATAGGGGATGAGGAGCGCGGGGGCGGGGAGGTCCGGCGCGAGGAGGTCGAGCAGCGCGACGCCGCGGCGCGGGTCGGTGAGGCGGGAGAGGAGCGCACCGAGGAGGCGCGCGGAGACGGGTCGGTGCGGGGCGAGCACGGCGGCCAGGTCGGGAGCCTTCCGCGCGGCGGAGAGCGCGGTCACGAGGGCGGGGACGTCGATCGTACGGTCCTCGTGTTGCCGTTGTTGGAGCTCGGCGGCGGACTTGTGGCGCTGGTGGAGGGGGTGAGAGGTGGGCAGGTTGGGGTTCAGCCAGACGGATTTCGCGGCGGGGACCCTGCGGTGAGAAGGGGATGGGAGCGCCGTGGCCGCGGCCGCGGCTGTAGTGGGCGGCATTGGGTGTCGGCGTGTGGCCGCGTGGGAGCGGGAGTGGCAGTGCCGCGGCAGGGGAAGGGAGAGAACGAGAGATGGATAGGAGATTTTTGCCGTTGGTGGCGACGTCACGCTCACGCCAGGAAAGGGCGAAAGGCGGCGGCATCCGAGCAGTGTGCGCTGTCCCTTGGTCCATTGGGCTTTGCATCGTCCGGCTGGCGGCTGCGCCTGCGCGAGCTGGATGTTTGCTGCGCCTGCACGAGCTGGATGTTTTTGCTCAGGAAGTCAGGAGTCAGGAATTCACAGGGCAGTCACAAACTCACACGGCACATTGTCAAAAAATCTGAACCATCTTATTTATTTTACTATTAATTATATTACCTCAGAAAATAGGATATGACGATCTGCCATCACCGCTGGTCCCATTCTTGTTTCTTCAATAAGAATAAGTGAATAACCTACAATCAAATCAAATAGCATCGTGATATTGGACACATCACATATCAAAGATAGAGCCAACAATGATGAAACATTGAACGATATTTTCTCATGTTAATGTTATCATTAACGGATCAGATAGAGTACAAGAGTGGGCTTTCAACTGTACAGATACACCGCGGAAAATTTTCTGATATTTACATACACTCATGAATCACTCACAGATCAGGGGTTCACACCAAGAATTACCCTGAAGACACAAAAAAGAAGAATTCTGTACCCACAAAACGAGGGCTCTTCTACAAATGAAGGAAAAGAGTAACGATTCACGTTAATTAAGAGAAACTCCAAGAAAATAAAAAAAAAAAACTCAATGACTTTATGAGGGCTCCAAATTAGGAGACAAACTCATCCTTATATGTGAAGAAAGCACCAGATGACTTCTCATTAGTACGCAAAAGAAAGCCATGGATGCTGTAGTGCTTCCTCAGCTGTAGGTCTCTTCCTGGGGTTAATTTGCAGCAGATAAGACAGAAAATCGACAAATTCTGAATCAGGACATTGCAAGTGCCGTCGCAAGGAGGATCTCTCTGGGATCAGATACTCTACCTGATCTGCCTCCTGGATATAAATAAGGCAAAGAAGGGAATTGTTAGGGTTTGCTGTTCTATGACCAACAGTACAGATATGTGCATAGTGAAACTCAAATTAAAAGGAAAAACTTAGGTCTTCTCGATTCGAACAAATAAACTTACAATGCTATAAAGTTATGTCTTTAATGTATCAAGTGAGCAAGAAGACGTATAAATATAATTCTGTAGCGTATTCAAAATTTAATTAAATCTGTTTAAGGTGCAATGAAGGGCGGGCCTGGTGCAAGCGGTAGAGTCTTACCGCCTGTGACCGGAAGGTCCCAGGTTCGAGTCACGGTCTCCTCGCATTGCACAGGCGAGGGTAAGGCTTGCCACTGACACCCTTCCCCAGACCCCGCACAGAGCGGGAGCTCTCTGCACTGGGTATGCCCTTTGTTTAAGGTGCAATGAAAATTATGAAGGCGAAGGAAACAACAGAAGCAGCTCGTGCAATATAGATTTTGTGATTAAAGGATACTCATTTAGCGTTACCATAGGCAGGTAGGCAGGTGAGCAAGTATGAAAAAAGAATCTGACCTCATTCTTGGTAAAAAGGTCATAATCATCAGTGAAATACTTCTGTGTCTCCTGTCCCAATTCTAGCATTTCCATGTCAATTGGGCCGATTATCCCAATCATTTGAGCAAGCATCATGGGCACAGGCTCGTTAGGAAATAATACCTGTTACATGTAAAGGACAGAAGCTATAGTTCCAAGGAAAAGAAGCACCTAAACACCTAATTCCTCAACTCTCCAGCTCACATGTGCTTACAACATTAATAAAAAAGATTATTTTCTATTTCTGGTTGGAGTTATATGTTGGTATTGCATTCATACAAGAAAAGAGGCCTCAAAAATTTGCCAAAACAATACTAAGACCAGTTTGTTGCAATCCTACAAGCTGCCAAGCATTTCAAGTAAATAAAACATACTTACTTCACCAGTGTACAGTTCAGAAAGGATGCAACCAAGAGACCAAATGTCAATCCTCTGATCATAAGGTAGGCCCAGAATGACCTCAGGAGCTCGATAAGAGCGTGATTGGACATAGAGGCATAAGTTGTCTGTCAAGAAGCAACTACTTCCCAGATCAATGACTTTAATTTCACATCTACTGTAGCTCTTGATAAGAATATTTTCTGGCTTTAGGTCACAATGAATGATCCTCAAACGGTGTAAGTAAACCAAGGCCTCTAAACATTGCCGAGCTATAACCTACAACAAAGGCAAACTTTCAAATTGCTAGAACTTTGTAACTTTCTGAATGAAACTTAATAACACTCATAACTTAAAAGAGTTAGTCAAATTGCCAAGGCAACCTTTTCAGGGTATCAAATACGTTTGCTCAGTTATAGTCCAATGGTTAAACAACTGTGTTTAAATGCGAAGCATGTTGGAAAATTTTCGTCTAGGGGCTGACTACAGGGTGAAATGCAAATGCTCATTATATACAAGTGTGATCTCATTATAAGTAGCAGTCATGGTCTCATGGAGTACATCTCAGTGAAGGATGGAGAACATACCTGTATCCTAGGCAAAGTAAAATACACCTCACCACCAGATTCCTGATTATATTTCTGAAACTCATATAGGTTTGCTCGCAGTAGTTCAGTGACAATAAAAAGGTGTTCCTGCCAATATTTGCTCGCTATCAGCACCATGCAAGGTCATGAGAATTGAAAAATCCCACTAAAATCTGCCACCGTACATGTATGAAGCAATTAAAGCACACTGGTATAATATTTCAGTTGATCCTTTTTAAGATAATTGCAATATTGCTCGAGAACTAGTCACCTGGACTATGTCCTTTGAGATGCATTCCTAGGAAGTTAGGATCCAAACAAGTTGAATCAAAGGGGGTAACTTAGCCAGTAGTCTCTCTTATGAGGCATATACCTGATGGTAGAAGTAGTCATAGAGGCGCAATACATGGTGCTCGTCTAGTGGATCATATTTGTTCACGAACTTCAGAAGTTTTATCTCATCCAAGCTCTGGTCGAAGAAATCCTTATCATTTTTAATTATTTTAAGGCAAACATCCATTCCTGTCTGAAGATCATGTGCTTGCACAACCTTGCTGAATGCAGCTGAGCCTAGATATTCAGTGATATAATACCTTCCAGCAACAACTGAATTTAAGACAATGGGGAAATCTTTGTTTTCTTCAAAGCCAGTCCTGCAGTGGATGCCTATGTTATGTAAGTACGAAAATGGATCAACCAACATACAATTTAACAAAGAGAATTCAAAGTAAAAAAGAGATTGTGAACCTGTTCTTGCGGTGGATAATTCTCAATTCAAATACCTCATATTCTCGGTGAAAATCAGAGAGAGCAAGATCAATATTTGTCTCGGCATCTTCCTCAGCTTTAAGAGCAGTAGAATGTTGAACATCTGCATTTAATAATCCAACATTTTGAAACTCATATGCTTCATCAGGATCACCACTTTCAGGGAATGGCTGTATCCGATGACCTTTCGGATATTCTTTATCAATGCTGCTTTTAAGATTTTTGTCACAGCTGCCATTGAGCTCACCATTGTCCATGAAATCATGTACACCGTGATCTATGAAATACATGAAGAGAATTAGACCAGCACATAAGCAAAAGATAGCCTCTAACAAGGACCAGGACAAATGGACAACTGATACTAAATTACTCACAAATATAAAGATGGACTAACATTAATTTAATACGATTGACCAAATAGTAGGTTGGACCTGGCTACATTTCAAATAGCCAAATACGTTAAAAACAAGACCATCATATTTGAAATGTGTGTTTTAAAGATCCTGATTGTATATAGCAATTGTTTAACCAAAGTTAGGTTCTTAAACGCAGAACATCATTTACCAGCATAGACAAACTCTACTTCTTTAGAATTTCCAGAGATAATCCTTGAGAAACATAATCATAAAATGGTAACCGTACTGAGAAACAGTAAATATTATATAAAAATGTTACTAGCGTCTAGTATAACATTTCCCCCCTCCATTTATTAAACTACACATCAACCAAATTGCAACAGAGATTTAGCTTTCACAAGGCAACTCCACAGAATCTAACTTCTTCATTGTTATCATTTATTCCCCTTTTCCACCTACATTAAATTCAATAAATAAATTCACATTATCTTTGGCCATAAAGTGGGTTATAATGGACAAACTATATACTGTGCTGCTACCAAAATTCAGCAGGACCCCCCACCCACCCACCCACCCACACACACAAACAAACAAATAAATAAATAAGGAGTGCTACTAGGTGGAGAGATGAACTCTACTGAAAGGCTTGAGAAGTACTTACTCGCAACAGCATCAGTATCAAATGAACTGAGCATTTGAAGCTCCTTCTCCACAACACTCAGCTCTGAATCATCATCTCCTTGTCTAGGATCCCTCGGCATACCACATTCAAACATAATACCTCCACTCTGCTTCAATTGAAACCCATCCTGCACACAATCATCCAGTATCTCTGTCTGGTCATCCATGATTTGGTATCTCCCATACACAGTGGAGCTTGAGCTCCTGGCCACATCAAGCCCGTCATTCTTGAGTCCCCCTCCACAGCAACCGCAGAGTGGTGATGAGCATGTGTACACCTCAGCGCAACCTTCACATCGGTCACCACCGATGTGTTCATGACGGTGGTTATGGCCTGCACCAAGCTTGCCTAGTTCTACCTGCTCTGAGCCATCGTGAGCATCCATTACAAACTTGTCCTCCTCTTTGCCTTCGTCATCCTCATCGTCCAGCTTGCTAGGGAAGAGGTGATCGTCGTAGAGCCAGTCCTCTTGGAAGAAGAGGTCGGTGGTGTCATACTGGCGCGCTGTACCAAACTCCATCTCCGATGAAGAGGCGTCCGACTGCGAATGCCTCGGCGACCACAGCCCATACGGATTCAACAGCCCTATAATCGGCAAAACAATAAGGGGTTTTCGTTCAGAATTGGTCAAATGTGCAGAAATTCGGCGCTAAACACTGAACCAAGCGCAGAGACTGAAATTAAAGTGGCGGAGAGGTTTAACAACTCTCCTACGAAATCGAAGATCGTTTATGTTATACAGTTCATCGCCACAGAAAAAAATACACGCGCTAATCCAACCATCAGCGCCGAATTGGCCCCGAAGCCGCTGAAATATCGGCGCACAGATCGAGATTGTGTGATACGCCCACGGAAAGCAAGGAGAAGAGGGTTTAAAGCTAGCGACAAAAATGCCTCGTGCCTTGGGTACCTGAGGGCGTGGAGCGCATGCTGACGAAAGCTGATGAGGACGCCGAGCCAGAGCTGGAACCGGGGCTCGCTGGTGCCGGCGTGCCAGCGCCAGCGCCAGCACCGGCGGCGGAGGCGGGCATCCGGAGCGGCGGGAGATGGGGATCTAATGCGGCGTCGTGAGTTTCGTCCCCGGCGGCGGTGCGTGCAAGGACGTCGTCACGGAGCGCGAAGGCCGCGCCGGCGAAGCCGTGGTCGGTGAGGAATGCCATGACCTGGTCCAGCCCCGGCGCCGCCATGCGCCGGCGCAAAGGCGCGCGGTTGGTGGGTGCTGCTCTTGGTCTCGGTCTTCTCGCTCAAGCGCTTGGCTCGCGGCGCGGTGATGTAAGCGGTTGCGTCGCCATTGGGGTGAACTTGGAAGCGAAGCGAAGCGAGAGGAGTCTTCGTCGAGTGAGAGAGGACCGGGCGAGACGGACGAGGAGGCAGGCAGGCAGCGAAGTCGGAGGAAAGAGCTAGGATTGTAGAGAGAGGCGCACGGATCGCAGCTGCTGCGCGTCTGCATAAAAAGGTTGCTGCAGTTGCGTTTCTGCCCGGCGGTTGGCCATGTGTAGACAGGCAGTACAGTATAGTTAAGCCCATCATATTCTGTCACCCCGGCGACACCTGTTTGCTTGATGACCAATTTTGCCATTATTAAGCCCGGTTTATTTAAGGTTTGGTTTCGCGGCTTGAATGTTTCAAAAAATTGAGTATATTTAGTAGAACAAGCTAATTACAACGCGTTTGACTTTGACAATTGACATGCAGTAGGTTCAAATCAGATTTTGTTGCAGATAGTCGCAAACATGGCAAACGTACCATGCTACTAAAATCTATCTTTGACAATCGCAGATAGTTCAACTCAACGATGTTTTGTGATCACAGGGTTGGTCTTTTCCCTGCGTGGCTGTTGCCAAATGCCAATCGCCAATCACCAATTTCCAAATCCATCGATATAAACGCGGTGGGGTTACTCATATATAGAGTACTTTTGCTTTTCAACTTTTCAACGAGGGAAAAAGCGAGAGGAGTCCGCGTGGAGCCCCTGCCCTGCCCCCTAGCGGCCGAGCGACGGGGTCCCTGTTCCAACGTCCAAATGGGCCTGCAGGAAAAGCCAACTGACGTGGAGGGGCCGCGCGCGCGGACGCCACCCGGCGGGCCCAGCAGGCCCCAGCTCCTCCCTCGCAATTCGCAACACCATCCCCGCTGCCGCGCCGGTGGGGCGATCGCGCGGTGGGTGGTGGTCGGGTGCAGAATGCGATGAAGGGAAATCGCGAGAGGTGAGTCCACTGTCCACCCCACCGCTCCCCGCCTCCCCGCACCCAAACCCACCGCTCGGCCTCGGCGGCCACGAGCACCCCCGCCCCCACCCAACGCAACTTTTCCAGGCCTTTTCACTGTTCCCGCCCGGGATCCCCAAATTACTAACCGGCGGCCTCACTGCACCGGCACCGGCACCGCCCCTCACCCCACTCACCGCTCGGCATCGACCACACCCAAGCCTGGAGAGGGAGACGGAGTGAGCGCTCGGCACCGCCCGCACTGGAGCCCCCGTCCCGTCCCCCGCGTCACGTACGCCACTTTTCCGTGATCTGCCTTGCCGGGTGCTGCAGGTAGGGGACCAGACCGAGAGCCATCCTCCGCGTCCGCGGCGCGCGGGCCGGTCGGGCCGTCGGGCTCGTGCGGCTGCCACGCCAATCGCGCCGGGCGTTTCCAGATTCCAGACGCGCCGAGGTGCCCGCTGCGCGTCGGCACGCATCGGCGCTACTCGTCTCTAGCGCGTTGTCTGTTCTCCGTTTTGGTGCAAGCAATGATTGATCACCAACGATAGGAGTGGGCCGAGTGGCTACCAGTACATGGCGAACGCGGACAATCGCCTATACTACATGATCAGTACACAAACCTTGGCAGTACCTCGCTAAAGTTAATTTTGGTTTCACCTGCTTGTGCTGTGCCAGTGTCGCCATGCTTGAGCAAAGCTTCCGGACGGTCTTTCATTAGGGGGGCATTCAACACAAACCAGATCTACACGTAGCTTTCTGTTTGAGTGCTCATACTTTTTTATCCTGCTGCAGTCATTCTGACGTTACTAGCACTTACTTGTAAACTTACTTCGGAAACGTAAAAGCGGAGCTTTAAGTGTAGCAAGCAATACCACCTGGTACTTTGATCACGTGATGCGTGCTATATATCTTAACAGCGTTTCAAGTACTATAGTATGTTGGAAGGAGCACTACCACTAGAGAGTCTTTTTTGTTCCCCTGCAATTTTTTTCAGAGCAAAGCCAATCACTACTCACTAGGTGCTGCAGTGCTGCCATTAGTAGCTCCGATCCTTCAGAGTTAGTAACTTAGTACTGCCCTGAACAGCCGATGGAATGGTACTGTACTTGTATGTACGCAATAGCAATTACAGGCAAGCAAGCACTACGCTTCAGTGTGCCATGTGAAAACGAGGGCCCTTGCCGGGAATTGCCATGAAACTTTTCGAGAAATAAAGTGGCTTAGTTAGTCCACGCTGACAAGTGAGTAGTGAGGGCAGTCCCAATAAAAAAAAAACTAGTAGTTTCTATAACATAGGATATTCCATAAAAAAGATCATGCTTTTCAACCTGCATTCTATGAAAAAAAATTTTTCTTCTCTTCTCTCAACCCATCTTCTTCCTATGAGTAATAATTATTTTCTTTTCTCTCTCCCAATTCTATCTTTTTCCTCTAATGTGAGAAAAAGCGTTCATTGTTCTGAAAATTACGATCGTTAGAAAATGGTTGGTTTTCCTAAAATGGTGGTTTCTCCCTAATGGCGATTTCATGGTTTTTTGGTGCATTGGGTCAAAAGTAGACTTGATTTCTTCATGAATAAACAATTTCTATGATTTTTGTTCTCTTTCTTCATTAATTACGTTACCATATCAACGTTTTGCCTACGTGATAAATTATTTAATAAAGATAAAAACCATCATCAATACACCGTTGGGACTGCCCTGACAAGACCACCTAACGACGGGTCGACGGCCGTAGGTATCGCAAATTCCCTTGCTGGGCACTTAAGTAATGATTGGGAGTGCAGTGCTAGCGAGTGTGTGCCTGATGCCATCATGTCTGACCCTCAGTATTTTTTTTTTAAACGAATCTGACCCCAGAAGTTCGTTTTGGTGATCGATGAAACCTGCGACAAGTCAGATGCTAGCAGAAACCAACACCATAGAAAAAATATTCAGAGAAGTTTGGGGTGACATGACGCTCTACTAAGAAATAAGGTAAAACAAAAGGTCTGGAGGGTGTGTTAGCAAACAGTTAGAAGACTACAAGACAGGGCACTCAGCAAAGATCCACGGAAGATCATCAGTTAACCATCTGGAGGGTGTGTTAGGCGCACCTTCCTCAGACAGGACATCAGAAAGCGATGATTCACGGGCCCGGTAGTTGTGGAAGCAGGTCCCTTCCCTTTTGATCGATCAAAACAATTAGAGATATATATTTTTGTTTTAAAAAAACAATTATAAAGGAGGAAATTCTGCAGCAGAAGGATAATGATTGTACCGGCACCGCACCGGCCGACTGAAAGAACACCCACATTCTCTCTGCTTTAGCCCTGTGGTTGTTGTTGATGACTTAGGAGTAGGAGTGCACTTAATTGTAATTCGTTATTCTTGGTGACTCCGAGTCTAATTAGTCTCACGGTTTCAGGTAGTAAGTACTCGTAGTGGTAAATGCGAAAAGCGAGCAGAAAAGAACGTGATACTAGCTTCGCTCTAAAGTTCTCACCGATTATGTACCCAGGGCTGCAGTAATGTGATCAGGTACTTAGTTCCCTTAATCAGTGCGCTCTGTCTTTTTTTGTGATCCAAGTACCTTTTGGACAAAAAAGATACTCTTCTCGAGCGCATCAAAATGTGAACCCATCCAAGCTAGGTCCTGGATCCATCGGTGTCTTTGGACCACGTACCAGTAGCCGTCGTGTCCGTGTTGGAGAAAGGGAGAGAACTCACAAATGGCAGCTCATGAGACCTCCAAGTTCGTTCGCAAGAAAAAAAGAGACCTCCACTCCATCTCCAAGTTAGGACTGACGGAGAGGTAAGCGTGGGCATGGGCACCTGTTACAAATTCTGAATCAGGCAGACGCAATGGTAATTTCAGCAGAAAGTCACTTCGGTGCAGCTTCAGCTGAAGCCTTGGCTGCACTGGATCGAGTCGAGCGGCAACACTGGTCACTGCTCACCGGCGTCGGCGGTCGCGTTCAGAGAAGGACGTGGAAATCCGCGAGATGCGACGCGAAAACAAGGCCGATCTCGGCTGAATTGTCGCGCGCGACGTTGCGGTCCTCCTTTCCTTGCACGGCTCGGTCGCTTTGGCGCCGGTTTACTTTAAAAGGACAAAAGCAGGCGGCGAACTGAACCAAGAAAGTGAAGGAAATGGCCGTAAGCTAGGCCCAAACCGCTCGCTTTTACGTGGTTTGTTCGGCTGATATTAAAGCCGGCTGATAAGTTGACTGAAGCTGTTTTGTTGTGAAAGAAAAATATTATAGATTCTAGCTGATAAGTTGGCTGTTAAGTTCAAATGAACAGGCCGCCCCGAGACACTTTAGCTTTGTTTTCTGTGGTTTTATGTTCTACTTTCACTTTCTTGTTTATCCATTTCTCTTGTTGCAATATATTCCTACTAGACATTGAAGCCAAAAAAAAAAAGGTTGCAAGGTCCTCCTGAGATAGCTTTGGGCTTGAAGACAAATGTGGGCCGATGCGAGAAAACTGGTCCTGTGCTCCTGTCCCGGACAGAACTGCATGAGTGCAATTTGACGGGCAACATTTATAATTACGCATCCCCTTTCCGTGAATAATTAGCTTCACTTTACAGAACAGCAGCTCGGCTTCAGTAACTTTGCACTGTGGACTGTGGAGGGTGGTCACAAGTTCAGAGTTCTTCGAGGTGTCTGGGACCCTAAGTTAATAAATAGAAAAAAGATTTTACGATGAGCACGCTAAAAAGCCAGCCTAAAAAGTATTTTTCGCTAATTTATTATAAAAGAAAAACATTATATATGGCTAATAAGTCAGGCCAATAAATTCAAGCGAACAGGGCCTAGATACATCTAGCGTGAATTACTTTACAATTCTAAATACTTTCTAGGCTAATTAGGGTAAGTCCATTTTACATTAACTCTCGCCAAATTCAATTTCAACCTCGACGTCGAAATTTTATATTATTTTTTTAGCCTCTTAACGTCCTCAAATGAAAAGATTCAAAACTACAAAGTTGTA